TACAAGGCTCCCGGATATCCTGGCTCCTGACTGCTCCCATTTCCTATGTCTGCCTCCCCCAAGCCCCCATTCCCCCCAGGGCCACCTGCCCCAGCCACACTGGCTTCTGTGCTGTTCCTAGAAAGTGCTGAGCACTGTACCTTTCCGGGACCTTTGAAAGTGCTACTCTTTTCTCTGCCAACAACACTTCTTGTCTGCCTCTTCTAGTGCTCACTACCTCATTTTCTTCAGGACTCTGAGGACTTGGCTCATCATGGCATTGAAATGGCTCTCCTTGTCCATGTCTATGATGTCATGTCATGTATTGATGCATTTATGTCTGTCTGTCCCACTGGAAGTTATTCTCCCAAGATCGGGGGTGTTGTCTCGCTCACTGCTGTGCATATTTATTGTCTGAAATCGTCCTGGGCACAGTGTTGCAGCTCAAGAGTTACTTGCTGATAGCAAGGATGAGTGAACGCATGGATGAGGGAGTTGCTCACCTACCATCTGGGCAGGCCTCTTTCTTTTTCTAGTGGAGCCTACTTTTTCGCTCCTTTCTGACTTCCGTCTCTCCTACATACCTTTATCTTAACTAAAACGTCCTTGTTGGAGTTTCTCCCTGGGGATTTGGTATTTGAGTTACTAGCACACCCCTTCTTAGAGGCTAGGTGCTTCAGAGTGGCTGGCAGTGACTCTCTTGCTAGTTGCAGGGACATCAGAGTTGTTTCTACATGAACAGAGGGCAGGAATTTCTAACATTCAGAGCGTCTAGGGAACAATGTGGGGAATTCAATTTTTAGATCTTGAAAAGACATTCCTCTTCAAAAAGTTGTCTTCTGCACCTTTTAGTGGGAATTTGAATTTTCACAATTAACGATTACTTGTCTTTTGTTTCTCCTTAAACTTGCAATTACAGTCATGTGCTGTATAACAAGGTTTCTGTCAATGATGGACCCCATATACAATGGTCCCCTAAGCTATAATATTGTATTTTTACTGTACCTTTTTTCCCTTGAAAACCCTTTAAAATCCAACACTGTACCTTTTTTATATTTGGACATGTTTAGATACACAAATACTCAGCATTGTGTTACAGTTTCCTGCAGTATTCAATACAGTAACATGCTATACAGGTTTGTAGCCTAGGAGCAGTAAGTTATTTCTCCTAGTCTAGGTGTGTAGTAGGCTATCTAAGTAGGTTTGTGTAAGTACTGTGCACTCTATGATGTTTGCACAATGATGAAATTGCTTAATGACACATTTCTCAGAACATATCCCCTCCATTAAGTGACGCATGATTGTATCTCCTGAAAGTGCTAAAATTTGACCCTATGTGACCACAGTGCTCTAATTATGAAAATATTCTCAACGCATTTGTGTTTGAGATGGAAAAAAAGTTATTTTGGTAGTGTGAGATATAACTGGTCAGTTGTTACTGACAATATCATTGTCACCAACAGAGGATTGTTTTTGTTTTAGTGTAGAATACATTTCCTCAGACCAAAACCAACATATACTTGGCCTTGTAATGGCTGGACAGGTAGCTACCTATTGTCCACTGCAACTGCATTTTATACCACCTGATCAAGCTTCAGGTGCATTTGCCGTTCACTATTTTAGTCTACCAGAGTGTCATTTTATTGAGAAAAATATGCTTTGGAATCTGATACACCAGCTTTTGTATCCTCTTCCACTTACTTATATGACCTTGGAAGAGTTACTTGCTCTTTATGCCAATTCTTCCATCTGTAAAAGGAGAAATCATATTTGCTTCATAGGGTTGTTGGAGGATTACACAAAGCAATGCACCTCAATTCGTTAGTGCAGTGCCTGGACTAGAGTGAGCCGGCAGAACATGTTGGCTGATGGTTCTGCTACCTGGGAGATCTACCATGATACCCTTCTAGCTCAGATAAATTAATAGCTTGTTTATTCTGTTTGGCCAGGCCTTTGAAAAAGCAAATTGATTCTACACACTCACCTCGGTAAGGGGCTGTGAGAATTGACTTATTTCTTTCATTCCATGGGCATCTACTGGAGGCATTTCCACAGCCAGTTTTAAAGTGCTACTGCCCCCTAAGAGGTACAACTCTGGACTTTGAGACTCCCCACATTCCCCTCCTAAGCAGGAGGACAAAATAAGGTTGTGTTAAAAGGAATCAGAGTTGGGAGACCAGGAGTTGAAAAGGCCTGGTCCTTGACGTAGGCTTAGCCATTAAAGCTAGTGTCGCAGGCATCAGGAAGCCAAGTTTTCCGGAGGCTGGAGGACTATCACTGTAACAACTTCTAAAGGAGAAAGGGAGCAGCGTTTAGCTTAGCAGCCTCCTTTGATTTGTTATTCTGTCAGATCCTACAGACACTTTCTCAGGTTGGTGCAGCTCAGGATGTTCAGATTTCATGGCTGCCGGGTGATTTGTGACTAAACATAGATAGGGCTTTTGAAAAAAAATAAAGAAAAAAAAAAAGGATGAGAAAAGACTATGAAAAGACCCATATTTTTAACAAGGGATATGGAAGTCCTTTATTGGTGTGCTTTCTTCGTCTGCCTCTTGCTGGGTTGGTATTTTCTCTGAGGTGGTAAACAATAGCAATCGTGATGAATGTCTTCTATTTCTCTAAACAATTTGTCATTTGCTGCTGAATGAAAGTTGGGTGGTTTTGGTGAATGAGCTACCAACAGGGTTTTTGTTACTTTATAGAAAACTATAGTCATTAAACGTTTCTTTTCATTTTTCCCCATAACGACTTCCATAATTCCTCCATTGCTAATTCTTATAGGATCATGATAAATTATTTGCAAAAGCAATTTATGCAGCATGGCCCATTCTTTTCAAGCAAGCAAACGAATTACTGCAACTTGCCATAATTGTAAACTTTATGTGTCTTTTATGCTCTTTGCTGAACTTTGGTTGCTGGAACCTAGACCATGGCAATCTTGGATCTCTAATATTAGGACTTTTGATGAAGTCAATGAAATCCTCATTGATAAAATGTTGTGTGTGTCTTTTGTCTGTGTGGACAAAGGGCACATGTAGAAGGACATAAACAGAAGGGGAATTGAAATTTTTTGAACATTTGGTATATGGCAGGTTCAGTGTTTGGTATTATTATCTCAATTGCACAGGTGGGAAAACTGACCTGGGCCAAAGTCTCATGGCTACAAAGAGGTGAGGTTCAGCTTCAAACCAGGTCAGCTTGACTGTAAAGCATCCTGTCGTCTATGCCACCCCCTCTTGCCTATCTTATTTTGTAACTATATCATAGGAGTCTCTGAGTCAGCTATTCTATCTGACCCCTCTCCTGAATAGCAGGAGAGCTCTTCTCTTAGGGAGCCCTTGGAAGAAGAGGGTTTGAAAGGAGTACTTGGTAACCATCCACCCCAGTATGCCCCTACTTCATAGTATTTTGCCATGGAATACAGAGCTACTTGTGCCCTGAGACTCAGAAACTGGAGGGCCAAGCCTTCTGTTTAAATGACTGTGGAGAATAGAGTGGTGGGAGAAGAAAGGGATTCGGAGCCTCAGCTCTGGAAAAGAACTCTGTCTCTGGGGAGAATTGAACTTCTAGACATCTCTCATATTCAGGAATTAGAAATGTATTGTTGTCTACATTCTCCTGGCATGAGCAGCACCTGAACTCTTCACTCCAAACTCCTGCCTGGCCCACTGACTAATTTTTAAGCCTGGAAAAAAAAAGCCACATGAAAATTAAGTAGTGAAGCTGAGGGAGGAAAATCGTGTTACAACAAACCCCAAAGGATTGTCCAAATCCTTTTTCTACAATGGGCTTTTCATGAGACTAATGATTCTCAGCTGATTCTTAGCTTGCGAGCTTTTTAAAATGATGACATTCATTGTGAGGGATTTAGTCACTATTAGGTTTCTTCGAGATTTGCTTTCTTATTTTGGCATCTATTACTTGATTTCAATTTTACTCTAGTTTCTATAAAGCTAGGGTCTTGGTGACATATGATTATTTTTATTGCTGCTTTTTCTTTTTCTTTTAAATAATCGCAATACTGAGAGATTTTTTTTTCTTTAAATATGAAATGGGAACAGCAGGTATGAGAATGTTCTGAAGTTTTATTTGTTGTTCCAGAAGTTAATGACTCTCTTGGTATTTATGTGAATGCTGTAGAGTTACATCAATGCTGTGAGCTTAAGGAATGCTGTAATCATGCACAAAAGGAAATTATGTCTGAAATAATTCTGCAGGTATGAACTCAGTGGTATGAAAATTGTTTTGTTTTCTGTAACATATATACAAACTTCATCGTGTTTTCCCCCTTTATTTGTGTGTGTGTGTGTGTGTGTGTGTGTGTATGTATCTCTGTGTATTAGAGTATTTCTTAACTAGTTATAAATCAGGAAGATGTATTCCTAAGTCAGATAAATAACAGCATGGATACTTATGTTAAAATGTATTAATCAATTAAATATAGCGTCACAGTGTTGAACCATTTTAATATGTATACTTTTATCCCAATGGCAAGGAGTCAAATGGACAGAAAGTTTTCTATATCAAGAAGATTGAAAAGTTGGAGGTCATCGCTGTCTATGTAAAATAATATATTTACAACTTCACACATTCATACACTATCCTACTGCAGATACGCTATTATGGAAGGCCAACTTTCACACAAAGTCATCTGGAAGTCTGTGAAGTGAAACCCCATGACGTGTTCAGCTGCCGTGAATTAAACTCCTTGGGTTTCCAACTCCTTCCTCTAATCCTTCACTGTCTTCCAGCTTCAAGGCTAGACACATCCACTGTTTATCCATATTACCTTCCTTCAATCTGGTCATCCTGTCCTATCTAGTACCATCATGGGCTGCTGAGGGTTTTTCTAGGAAATAAAAGGGATTTAGTAATTCAAAACTAGTAGACTTCTTTATTCACAGGCAAAGATTTGGTGCTAGAAAGAGAGATTGTCACTTGAGTCATGACTTTAAGTTTTTAATAGAATTGTATATTTTCCTTACTTCTTCTTCTTCTTTTAAATAAATCAAACCACACAGGTATTCCTGGAGAACATCTGAATGGAAAGAATGCCAAGTCTCTCTCCTCCTCGAGCAGCACGACCCCCACTGGCATGTGACAGGACCCGCGTGTGGCGGTGGGATCCAGACCCGGGAGGTGTACTGTGCCCAGAGCAGACCAGCGGCTGCCACACTGAGAGCCAAGGAAGGTAGGCGGCCGGTTCTGAGGCAGATGGTGCTGCTGGTTGGAAGGAAAACTACCTCCAGCTCTCCTAGTAGTCTTCGTGATGTAACAGACACTTAGCATTCACAGATTTAATATTTGTTCTGTCGATCATTTGCAAACCACCCTTAAGTTCTACTTTTAGTTTGTTGGGACAGTTAAAAAAAAAGTAGTAAAAATAATAACATCTGTCTCCAAAGAGTCTCTGTGAAAGTTAAATGAGAAAATGTACCTAAGGTGTGCAGCACAAACAAATGCTATGAGCCAGGGGTCTGATGTACTGGAGCGAGCCTGTTAGTTAGTAATGAACGGATAGCATTCTTTTTGTGTGTGTGTTTTCTCAAAGGATTTTTTTGTACGTGAATTTGTGGATGTGGGAATTTCTACAGACGTATCCATTTTAAATATCAGGGGATCCACTGTTTTATTGTCAAATTTTAATTTTTCTGAAGAAGAAGGATGAGGAAGAGGAGGAGGAGGAAAAGAAGGAGGAAGCAGCAACTTCCTCCATGTTAAGCTTTCCAGTGGGCAGGCAAGCCTCAGCAGCGTCCGTTTGTTTCAGAGTTTGGGACGGTGATAGCATAGAGAGATTGGGAAACGCTCAGATTTATTTAAGTCGATTGACTGAAAGTCAGGAGTGGACAACAATGCTTCCACTCTAGAAGAATGTGTGGCCTGTTCCAGCCACATTGGAGAACACATGCAGTGCCTCCTGCAGAAGTGGTAAAGGGGGATGTTTCCTTGGGCTTGCCAGGTGTGAGTACACATTTCTACCATGGCCTTTGGTTAGGAAGGCAAGATGCAAGTTTTCTTGCCATGGCAATAGCATCTGTTTTATTCTGTAAAGCTTTTCATGCTGGGTACCTTTTTTGTGACATGGTTTCCTAGAGTTCCAGAGGCATCTATGACCATAGCCTCAAATAATGCACCTCATGGGATAATCTTTACGGAGTCCTTAGCATTTTACTTCAACAATTTAAGTTAAAGGGATACATTTACAGGGATAAAATTATTTTAAAAAGTAATAGTTAAATTTTCTTCTTTCTCTAACTTCACTTTTGGAAAATGACAACTTATACACTTTCTGTTTCTGGATAAAATATGACTATGCTTATGCCTCTGAACTTGGAGAAACAGAATTTAGGTAGAAACCTTCAGATTACGCTTTCAAACCTTGGTGATCTTTCCATCCTGGTTCCTCTCTTCTCCCCTTTTACTATGGTCTACAGTTCTAGGGTCTTCAGGAATCAGCAATAAATAAACATTTTTATAGAATTGATGTATTATGACCTGCTTATTTTCAGCTTCAACTTTTAATCTTCTATTGAAATTTTCATCTTTCCAAAGTTTCTTTTGTAAAAATAGCTTTCCTTATGGATCACTTATTTCTAAACTTTCTTTTCCTCAATGTTAAACTTTCCAGCTTTTGAAATGGAAATATACCAGGCAGGAAGATTGTAATTAGAAAGTAGAAAGAACCTGTTCTAGAGTTGGGAAAGAATTAGAAGCTCCATGGTGAGGGGCGGGCAAATAAGGAATGGGTGTTAATTGCAGATTTAACAGCCTATTAAGCCCTCCTACAATCTGCTCCAAGCATCTAAAGAAGAGGAAAATGTCTTAGGCCAAGGCACACCTCAAAAGTAATGCCTGTGTTCACAGGGAAACAGAAAGTACTTAGGGAGTCCTAAGTCTGATAGCCCAGTTCTTGGTAGGGGGAGGTAGATGTGGGGCCAAGATGTAAATACACCTTTGTGTAGTGTGACCATGTGTTCTTGTACGAAGCTGAATGTAGTGAGTAAAACTATGTTGGATAATATAGCAATATAGCACAGCCACCTTAAAGTCATGGGATAGCATACTACTTACCTTTGTCGTTGTTATCAAAGGCGGTTTTTGCTCTCTTGTGGAAGTGAACCAGCCGGATTGCTAATCCATTTCTTTCCTTTCTTATAAATGCTTTCATTTCTTACTGTTGTCATTTATAGATATACTTTGACAATGAGAGTTTCCTCTTGGCCTGCATTAAAAGCAAGAGAACAATTTAATTCCTATTGTAAGGGACCAGTGAGTGTATGCCCAATTAATTTGGCCAAATTTAAATATTTCTAACATTTCTGCTAATACAATAACAAAGGCCAAAATTGGTAACATTCTTTGCATTTCGGTTTCTGTGAACATCAGCTTTTTATTATGATGATGATGATGTTAGATATTTTGGAGGTAGAAAGCATTTTAATAGCACTGGTTTTAGAAATGCCTTTCTCAGTGACAATTGATTTTCTCCTAAGGTTAATTTTAGACTCATGGATCACTCTGTTCATTCTCTGGAGTGTAATTGCTTGAATTTTCTTCCCAGCAAAATCCCACCATTCCTGTGAGTTAACTGCTTTGCATTTCAAGAACTTGATCTTATAGGAATTTATGATCTTGTGGGGGGAAAAAGCTTCATTTCTATAGATCATTCACACAATAGAATACAATAGAATTTCTAGATGCCAGAATTGAAAAAAAAAAAAAAAAAAGAATACTAATTCCCTCCCAAGGGCCTCCAAATCTCCTGGCCTAGGCTGAATCCTGACATTGATGTTCTGTTGATGCCTTACCTTCGGTGATATCCCATTCACCATTTGACCCCAATTCATGATGTTGACTGGACAAGCATAATGACACTTGTGGCATATGTACCTGACACTGTTGTTCAATGTCTGTGTGATATTTTAAATGTAGCCAAAATAGTAATGTAACAATCAAGGTGAGAAATATTACCAGTAATATTAGCCAACCCCATAGAATTGTGAGTGCAGATATAGGGGACTATTTATCATTTTTGTTTAACAGTTATTATTTTAAAGAGAATTGTGTTTCTCTTTTATAATTCAGAAGCATCAGCAAAAGTGATGCTTACTTGTAAATCCAAAAGCTTGGTTGTGGTAAATCTACTTTCTTCTTGCCCTTTTCTCAAATGTGATTAAAACCACTTAACCTGAATTCAGAAAATAGGACATGAAACAAGGAAGACAACTTCAAAATCTAATAAAATGCAGGGAATATTTATTCCCTTTATGATAACGTAGCCTAGAGACTGGGGTAACAACAAGTATGGAGTTAAACGACATGGAAGTAGAATGGATTCATATTGTGAAGCAAAAGAAAAATAAAAAACAACAAACTAAGTTAAAAATTCAGGAAAAGGTATCAGGGTCATTGTATTTGAGTAGAACACTGCTTGTATTTTTTTTTAAAGTATATATTTCAGATTCATTATCTGGCATCACATGGACACAGCTATGTTAAGAATGGGGCACAGTTTAGCTTTGAATTGTTAAATTCATTAGTTGCCCCCTCTACCCCGTTAAGAATGTCTTTATCATACTCTGCCCAGAGCTGTCATTAAGAGAGGACATGAGCAGATAAGGGAACATGTCCTGGAATGCTAAGTATTATAGTATACATAGGGAGACATAATGTGTTTTGTGTTCTGGGTTTTAATTCTGAGTTGGACAGAACTTTGATAAACCAATTAAATATTGTATCCATCTTCTAATTCATTAACTTGATTTTAAATATATTGATTTAGTGAGTAAAAATGGATGACAATCAAACATTCCTTTTTTTTTTCAAAAATAGTTTATGTACGTACCAGCTGTGATGTAGTCTATGCACTAAGCACTCCTGTCATGAAGCTGCCCCTGGTAATTTATAGCCTTTTAATTGGAATAGCAATTGAACTAATGATTATGCTATAGTGTCTTAAGTCTTGTGATCACTTCATATACAAAATGGTTCAAACCATGTAATGATGCCCAAGAGTAATCTTCATAGAGAAAGTAATGCTTGAAGTGAGTTTACAGGTCAATAGCAAAGCATATTCTACACAGGGAGAACACATGGAGAGGAACAACGAGGTTTGTGTTCAGTGGCAGTCTGTGCACTGGTTTGAGGAGATCTAAGGAAATAAAAATGTAACCATGACACTGGAAAAGTAGGTCTTCTGTGATATCGTGGAGTAAGACCTTCTTTTTGAGGATTTGAGTGCCCACTGCAGCCTTTATTTCCCTACTGTGGGCTTTTAAGCAGAGAAGAAATCCTGTATCTTTAGCTGTATATAAGAATGTAAAAATGTTAGTTTGATAAGAAAATTCTCATGAGTAGTCATGTCCATTTGCAAATGTATCTGATTACCTAAGAAGTTTTTGAGACATGAAATAAAATAATTTACATTCTGAACAGATTTCTTAGGGGCAATTGAAGGAGATATTCCACCATTATTTGAGAGACTAGAAATGTCCTTTACCTGTCTTTAGAAACTGGTATTAAAGTCAATAAACTCATTTGAGTGTGAGAATAAGGTGTCAGGAAAGTAGTGCACAAGGAACTTCCCTTAGTATCGAACCTTAGTGGAGAAACGAGACTGTTTAAATGGGGTTACAACATTTTCTCTTGCTTTCTGCTAACAGAGAGGCAGAGATAACTGAATAAAATAACCTTTACTAATTAACAGCAGGGTATTGGATGACAGTTCATATGAGGCCAAGAGAGATAGGGCTCTAGGCTTATAATCTTTCTATCTTGGAAACATCTTCAATTATTGGAATCATGGGTGTAGGAGAAAGTCAGCAAAGGGTAGCAGAAGGTCGTTATCAACAGGCAGGTCTCTGGACTCTTCACGTGCCGTAACTGGAGACAGAAAGGGGAGGCAGGGAAGAGAAGCAGGTGAGGAGGTGAATGGAGGCAGCTGGTTGCTCCTGTTTTTATCAAGGAGGAGGAAAGAAGGAGAAGAAGGAGCAGGAGGAGAAAAGAAAGAAGAAGAGGGAGAAGAGGAAGAAGGGAAGGAAGAAGAAGGAGGAGGAAACTTACTAAGTCAAACCCTTGGGGATCTTTCTGTTCCATCTGAACCTACAAACTATCTAGGATAGAGTTTGGGATTTGAAAACCCAGTTGTCCGTAGGTTATAGATAGAGGATCCTAGATTCACAGATGCTCCAG